AGCACACGCCATGGTAGGTGCTAGAGACGGCCGAGCATGGTGGGGAGCGGCTAGGAGCGGTTGCTGGCTGCAGCCTATTTTGCTGCTGGTTCTGCTGGGCGCAGACTATGCTGTTGCTGGTGCTACTGGGGGCAGTCTATGCTACTGCTGGTTTTGCTGAGGGCAGCCTATGCTGTTGCTGGTTCTGCTGGGGGCAGCCTATGCTGCTGCTGGTTCTTCTGGGGCCAGCCTATGCTGCTGCTGGTGCGGCTAGGGGCAGCCTATGCTGCTGCTGGTTCTGCTGGGGGCAGCCTAGGCTGCTGCGGGTACTGCTGGCGACAGCCTAAGCTGCTGCTGGTGCGCTGGCGGCTGCCTAGGCTGCTGCTGGTGCGCTGGAGGATGCCTGAGCTGTTGCTGGTGTGCTGGGGACTGCCTAGGCTACTGATGGTGCGCTGGTGGCTGCCTAAGCAGCTGCTGGTGCGCTGGCTGGCGGACTGCAGGGCGGCGGGGAGGGGGCGCAATGGGTACGCGACGGGGTGGGGACGTGATGGGTAGGCGACGGGGAGGGGACGCGACGGGTAGGCGACGGAGAGGGGACGCGACGGGTAGGTGATGAGGAGGGGACGCGACGCGGAGGGGAAGGGGAGGTGACGGGGGTGGGGGGGGGGGGGCGACGGGGAGCGACGAGAAGGCGACGTGACGGGGAGGCGACGGGGAGGGGACGCGACGGGGAGTGATGGGAAGGCGACGCGACGGAGAGGCGACGGGTAGGGGACAAGACGGGGAGGGCTGCGGGGTGACGGGGCTGTAGGGCGACGGGTTACGGGGGGTGCCCTTCTAACACACGATTCGGGGGGGGCGCGGGGGCCTTCCTAGGTCGCGACGTGGGGAACCCGCGGGGGTCCTTCTAGCTTGCGATTTGGGGGTCCCGCGGGGGCCTTCCTAGGTCCTGACGTGGGGGACCCGCGGGGGTCCTTCTAGCTCGCGGTTCGAGGGGCCCTCGGGGGCCTTCCTAGGTCGCGACGTGGGGGGACCCGCGGGGTTCTTTCTAGCTCGCGATTAGGGGAGCCCGCGGGGGGCTTCTAGCTCGCGATTCAGGGGGACCCGCGGGGGCCTTCCTAGGTCGCGACGTGGGGGACCCACGGGGGTCTCTCTCTAGCACACGATTCGACGGGGGGGAGTGGGGCGCTAAGGGGTGACGGGGTACTAACGGGTGAGCGCGGGGCGGTGGGCCCATAGGATCGAACTGGTCTATACCATGTTAACGTGGTAACTGAATAATGAATGAGCTCAACAATGGCATACACGGGTTGATATAGCAAACCCTAGCCAGCCCTAGCCAACCCTGAACACAAATGTACACCACCTAGACTAGCAAACACAAACTATAACAATCATAGTTTGACATCCCAATCTCCAAGGTACAACTCACTCCTCTTGATGTAGATCATGGGCTCACGGTCCACCTTCGGACGAGTCCTTTGAGTCCAGTGGTCCATATCCTGAGTTGGTGGGTTGTCTCATATACCTGATGACCTGTACTTGCTCAGACCTCGCTTTCCTTCTTAGCGGCGTGGCGCGTTTTGTTGCGCCTGGGAAACACCGACCTTCCCATTGGTTGGCAGCTAAGATGGTGCAGAATTATGTGGCGAGCACATCAGGCATGGGACTTGTTCTTGGAGGGAAGCAGCCATTTACACTCACAGGTTTTTCGGACTCATTGTACGCTGACTGTGGCCAGACGTACAGGTTTACGCAGGGTTACTACTTCAGGCTTGGCACCGGAGCTGTCTCGTGGAGGTCGACTCGGGCGTCGTCCGTCGCTCACTCCAGCTATGAGGCAGAGGTGTACACTGCGGCCATGGCCGCCCAGGAGCTTCGCTGGCCTCCTCACCGACCTTGGTGAGTGGCCTCGCTCTCCCCCAGTCTTGTTCGCTAGCAACAGGTCTGCTATCCTGTTGTGCGAGGAGCCCCGACTGGTTGGGAAGGCGAAGCACATCCAGCTTTGTTACTTCCTTCTGCGCGAGTTGTTGTAGCGTGGCCAGGCTTGCGTAGTACGTGCGGTCTCTGAGGCCAACACTGCAGATATCTTCACCAAGGCGTTGCCGCCTTGTGGCCACCAGCGTTTCTGCACCCAGTTAGGCCTTGTGCCTGCCAGTCCTCACTTGCTTACGTAGGGATGCTTTGTCTTTTACTCTTGCATCTCAAAATATTTTCTATATATATGCTTGTGGACTGGCCTTGTGGCCCCTTGCTTACGTAGAAATGCTTGTCTTGCTTGTCTTTGTACGCTTGAATCTCCTATATTTGCTATAGACTTGCATGTGGACTGGCCTTGTGGCCCCTTGCTTGCTCTTGGACTGTGTGGTGATCTTGAGATCCACCATGAGATTTGTCTTGCTCTTGTGGACAGGTCTTGTGACCATTGCTTGTTCTCGCTGACTGGTCTTGTGGCCCTTGCCCTCAGACAGTGTGGTGATTTTGTGCTCCACCTTGAGATGTGTGCTGCTTTCACATGACTACTGTCACCTAGACTATGGGAGTGTGTCAACATGAATTTTATATGTGTTGTTTAGTCTAGTCTAGGTGTTACAGTTGTATTTGCTTGCATGTTTAGTGTTTCCTATATCTAGGGTTGTACTTGTCATTGCTAGTCATTCATTCCATAATTCACATTCTAACGGTTCGCACGTGCCGTCCCTGCGGCGTCACCTCAGATTGCAGCGTGCGACGCCACCACTCCAACGCAACTCCTCGCAACAGTGATACTGTGAATTTAATGCGGGCGGTATCGTCATTAACTCGAGCAGCATTAAAGAGCACCTCCACGCCCAACAACCATCCTGAAACAGTGACAACGCTCGAGTTGAACGGTGGCGGGTTCGGCGGCTTTATCTTAACAGTTGTCGAGACGGTTGCCTCCACCGGTCTTGTTGCTGCTACTGTTGTCGGTGCCGATGTAACTGTCGGCCGTTGTGCCCGCCTCCCTTCTGCAATGTCCATCGAGCCCTCAAGCTCGCTGAAGACGTCCTTGTTCGGGTGGTGCTTCCACTTGCCTCATCCATGACGGGTGACTCCCGGTGCGCTTCACCACGCGCTTGGCGTAGCTTGCCATTTTCTTCCCTCAGGCGCTCGACCTTTGCAGTAAATGTCGGCATGCCAGCTCGCATCGCCTAAAATTGCTGCAGCATGTCATTCAACTCCGCCTAGTCCATGTTTCTCAGGCTTCGTCGGGGTTATTAGCGATTTTTATGACTTTGAAGAAGGCGCAAACTCTATTGTAGTCGGAGTGAAAATATTGGTATCTATTTTACAGGCCGACAGCTTCGCAACCACCAAGTCTATCACTCCCCTTCCACAAACTACCTCGGAAACGCGAGCGTAACCAAGGAAAGTAGCTCTGATGCCAAGTCTTATGAGTTGTCGAATGAAAGAGTGCGCAGAATGCAATAACGCAAAAGTGATTAGAACTACTTATCGATCAATGAAGCATAGGACGGATATAACGAAAGCTAGGTGGGGTCCGCAAAGTCGCGATGGTTGGGTGATGGTTCGGTGTTGCCAAAGCCCGAAGGCGACGCAAGGTATGATCGAGAGGCGAGTTGTACGCGTTTGAAGTGATCCAGTAAGGAATCAGAAAAACTCCTTACACTTCAAGTGGCGCGCTAAAAATAAATTCAATAGCTCTGTTGTAATTTGGTCGACATTCCTCGAGAGGTTGCATTGCAACGATTTTCCATCGATTCATTGAGCATCACTACGTTTATATCTCGCTTCATTCATAAAGTACAAGGTGGATATAACAATTATTCACTACCTTGCAGTTGTGGCAATCGCGCGATTGTGACACGATTCTCTGAGGAGTGTGCTGTGTAGTCGTCATATGTCTGAAAATGCAAAATGAGACTAGGTGGTAGGTCTGAGAGACCTGCAGGAATGTGAAGAGGCTCGTCTCTTTTGCATCAAACTCCTCTACTAAGTCAAACTTAAAATAAACTACTATCTATTATATAGCTTCTATAAGGCTCCGACTGTACATGGTATTGCTTCTTAAATCCAACGCAGGTGGTTGAGGTGGTGGTGGACCCTTTGCTGAGGTGGTGGGGATGTCGTCGAGTGAGTTCGGGAGTTTAGTGGTACTCAAAAAGTCCCTTGTGGTTACCCCAAGTTCTAAACTCTGGAGTTATTCCCCTAGCTTATGCAGGGGGGGGTGGGGGGGAGGGAGGGGAGAGGGGGGAAGGGCAACAATGACACTCTCCGCAGCAGCAAAAAAATGTTTGCCGCTGGCTCCTGACTTGCTTGTACCATTTGTTCGCTCGTGGCCCATCCCAACCACAAACAGGGTAACCGTAGAAGCAAGTGACAAACCCTAGCTTCTACCATACCAAAAGTGCACTGCCGCTTTAATTTATAGTGTAGACATGTGAACGGCGTGCCAAGGATCCCATTCCTTTGTAGACGCTTGCAGATTGTTGCATGCCAGAAGGAAACACGAGATTCGAAACATGCGGGACAGTCAGCGTAGTACTGTAAACCCAGAAATGAAACAATGTACCTCTTAAGCAACAGCTTTAGAGACGAGGCGAGGGGCCTAAAAACCCCATGTCAAGCAACTGCTGCGCAGCCTCCACTCGATTCCGCAATCGCATACCGTACCTTCCAACCCCCCACTCCCTCCTCCTCCCACCACCTCCCCTCCCCCCTGCCTTCCCACCTCTCCTTCACCTCTTCCCTTCCCCCTCTTCCACCATGCCTTTTAAACCACTCTTGCTGGTACCCCCACCACTATCTTCCCCACACTTCTGCCTTAGAAAAGGAGCTCCGATGAGTTCAATAATTGATTGCCTTGCCGCCTCCCCCTCCCTCCACCTCCACCCCCTCTGCACCACCCTTGCTGCTGCCCTCTGCTCCAGCTCCCCCTCATGTGGCCGCCTCCACCTCACCCACTGCCAGCCTCAGCACCTCCACACCACTTCCATCCAATTTTGTTGCTATTCAAATGGAAGCCTCATGCTTAACTTTTACTGCTTGCCACTCCTCCCCCCCTTCACCTCTGCCCCTGCTGCACCGGCCTTGCAGCTTTCCCCACCTGCGCCCCCTGCTCCAGCTTCTCCTTGTGTCGCCTGCTCTACCTTTCCCATTGCAAGCCTCAGCACCTCCCACACCACCGCCGCCATGGGATTTGGGGCAGAGCGAGTAGGGAGGGGGAAGGTGGGGAAGAGCGAGTACGGAGGAGGAAGGTGGGGCAGAGAGAGGGGGCAGGTGGGGCAGAGTGAGGGGGCAGGTGGGGCAGAGTGAGGGGACAGGTGGCATAGTGAGGGGAGATGAGGAATTAGAGATGGGCGCAGCATGGAGACTGGGATGTGGATGGATGGGTAATGAGGGATGTGATAAGGACATGAGCAGCAGCACGAGCAGCAATAGTACAAGCATGCTGCTGCCCATTAGCTTGACCAATAGCAGATAAACACCGCAGCCAGCAGCACTGAGTGTCAGTAGCAGCTGCTAGCGCCAGCAGCAATGGTTAGCACCAGCAACAACAGCCAGCACCACTCACTGCCACCCGTACAGCCACCCTTGGGGCGGCCTACGTTGCCCATACTGCCCGAGCTGCCCGTACTGCCTGAGCTACTGCTAAAGCTACGCGTACTGCTCGAGTTGCCTTTACTGACCGAGTAACCCTAGCTGTCGTAGCTTACCGAGCCGCCATTCCTAGCGATGTTCCTCCTGTCGCTACTAGATTCTAATCGTTACCACGCGCTCGCCTATAGCTGTGCCTCTGCTAGCTAAGACGTCCTCTTCACTTCCCAAGTTCGTGCTGCACTTTTATGCGAAGTCTGGGAGCTAGATTTTGACGTGTATCTGGGCGACAACGAGCTTTACCTGAAGACCCAGCGCTAGGATGGCGTGTACCTCTATGCCCTCATGCCCGGTCAGTTGTCTGCCCCCGCACGGCCTCCTGCACTCACAGATGCAGCAACAGACGCAGAAAGGCAGGACCATGCCACAGCTCGAGACACCCACATGTGTCCTAGTATCACCCGCAGAGTGACGGGCTGACCAAGAGGTTCGTGCAGACGATAAAGAGGGGACTGAGGGCATGTGCAGAGAGATTCGGCAGTCTACCATTTCAGCAACAAAGCTGCTCTGAGGAATATTTCCCCATACTTCCTATTACTGGGAAGGGAATTGATTCTGCCTATGGATGCCCCCAGTCTACTGACCAATACCATGACCATTTGGACCGAAGAAAAGTGGGTGGCAATGGCTGAAGCCAGGGCGAAGTACCTAAGAGATCTGGTGCTAGCTGCACTGGAAAATCTACATGTAGCCCAGCCGAGAGATGCTAAGAGATATGGGAAGAGGGGAGAGAGGTCACGAGGGCGTGAAGAGAAGGGCGTCGATTCAGGGAAAGAAGTGTACCTGGTAGGTCAAGAAGGACTTACTGGACGTAGGGTTGACAAAAGAAAGTTGGAGAGTGAAGGAGGTGAGGGATTCATGAGTAGTGGTTCTAGTGGGCGAGAAAGGGGAAGTGAGGCAGGATCCTATCACCAATCTGGCCAGGTCTCGACCCAAGAGGGAAGACGAGGGAAGAGAGGAAAAGCATGGGGCTCCTCTGCCGCCTCTCAAGGAAGTCCATCGGCCAGAGCAAGGGAGGAGGGCAGAAGGCCCCAAAGCAAGAGAGATGGAGAGAGAAAGCTAGGGAAAAGGCAGGGCGATGCAGGCAAGAGGAGGTTGCAAGAAGAAGGAAGGCATAAGAGAAGCGAAGAGACCGCGATCTTTGGACAGTTGTCATGCATTTTATAGGGACCATAAATAGCATAAGCTGGATATAGAAGGGAAATAAATAAATGCATAACATAATAGACGTGAGTACAAGAGTAGACAATTGGGAGGACGAGATAACGGAATCAGGGCAAGCCGGTGGAAGTGAGAAGAGGCGGGAAACACTGAATCTAGAAAGTTAGAATAGCACCGTTAGCAAGCAGCGGTAAGTGTCAACCTAATACTTAGCCGAGACATGGAATAGGCCTGCTCCATTACTTGTTTGTTTTCTCAATTAGCAAAGAGTGCATCTGTCTAACCTGCAGTCGTTATGCTTAGAGAAGCCGATTCAAGCAATTATTAAGTCAGCCGAGCTGGGATTCGTAGTACAGAAGACAGTTCAATAGCATAGCGAGAGCTCTTCTGTTCTGTGGGGAGGGTAGAAGGCCCCAAGTATCAAGAGAGAGGAAGAGAGAAAGCAAGGGGAAAGGCAGGGTGATGCAGGCAAGAGGAGGTTCTGAGAAGGTCCTCGCCTATTATCTCAGCGTCCTGGCTCGCTTTGTTGCGGCTGGGAGACACCACAGTGTTCACTGGGCGGCTGCTGTGAGGGTAGCGAAGTACCTGACGACTACATCGGGCATGGGGCTGGTGCTTGGAGGGAGAGAGCCAGTAGTACTGGCCGGGCACTGCGACCCGTCCTTGGAGATCTGCAGGTCTACTCAGGGGTACTGCTTCATCTTGGGCTCTGGAGATGTGTCGTGGAAATCCACTCGATCGTCGTCTGTGGCTTCGTCTAGTGCTGAGGTCGTGATCTACGCCGGTGCCATAGATGCTCGGGAACTTCGATGGTTGACCTACTTACTTATTGACCTATGTGAGCGGCCTAGCTATGCACCGACCTTGTTCGCTGACAACAATGCCATGATTCTCTTGTGTTGAGAGCCTTGACTGGAAGGCAGAGTGAAGCACATCAACTTGCGGTATTTCTTGTTGCAAGAGCTGCAGCGATGCGGCCATGCACGCTTGGCCTTTGCAGCCTCGGCGGCCAACATTGCATGCATCTTCACCAAGGCCTTTCCGCCTGGTGACCACCACATGTTTTGTACACAGCTTGGCCTTGTTCAGACATGTCCTTGTTTGTTGTAGGCTTGTCTCTTGTCTCTTACTCTACTTTTCAAATACATCTGTGAACTCTTGAACTGGCCTTGTGGTCGTTTTTCTCAGAGGCTGGCTAGTCGTACCACCCTAAGTTCATTTCTTTGCCTTGTTGCTTCTCTTGACTGGTCTTGGGACCATTTGTGTATCTTACTCGTTCTTGATGCCCCCCACTTAGCCAATGGGGGTGTATCAAATGTTTAAATTATCATGTTAGGCTATAGTGAGGTAGCTCATAGAGGGTACAACCCATTTAGGGTTGTCTACTTGTATTCCAGCACATTTCTCTCGATACTTATATCCGGGCCGGGTGATTATCACGGTTTATGGCATGGATCACAATGTCGCATGGAGTTGGTGACGTGTCACAAATATGGAGCTACTGGGAGTTAAATACTAGACACGGTATCGATCTGGTATTGAATGAAGGGAACGGATTAGTAACTGCAGTATTTACTTATCAAGATTCTAGTTCGGCCACGAATTATGAACAACTTTGATTGCCTGCCTGTATGTGGTTGCAGCGTTTGTTCACATTTGTATGTTGTCAAGCGTATATAGCGAAGTAGCTGCGCAAATATCATACACAATTAAAACTGCTGCTGGGCTATATGGTAATTTAAGGTATAAATGTTTAGTTACCGCTTATATCGATTAATGTGATTTTCACGTTCCAGCCAATGATGTATTTTTTGTATGGTCTCGAACAGCCAAACGCAGTGGGCGAGAGGTGCTCTTTCGGGCTGGGCGAGAGGGAATAAGGGGGCGTTCCCACGGTTTGGACAAGTGTGAGTCTGCCCACGCGGCTCGCAAATTTCCAATGTTGTAAAAATTGAATGGTTGCTCCAGGTCTGGACTGTTGAAGAGAAAGGCCCCGCCCTCGCTTGGGCGCAGCCGATCTCGCCGTCGACGGGAAGATCTCGACGGATTGGTTGAAGAAGTGGGCTTCTGCAGTTCGACGGAAGTTGCGGTCGAGCAAGCTCTGCTCGACAGAATCTGGTCGACGAGCTCTGCGCGACGAGCTCTGGTCGAGGTTGTTTACGCGGCGAGCTCCCGTCGAAGAGCGCTGGTCGACGATCCTGGTCGAAGAACTCTGGTCGAAGATTTCAGGTCGAGGAGCTCTGCTTGGAGAACGCTGTTCGACCGAGCGATGTTGAGCTGATCGACCGAAGTTGCAGAGTTGTGCGAAACTCTGCGGAGGCGTGCGAACTTTCGCCCTGGAGGTTTTGGCGAAGTTCTACCTGCGGAACGGCATCACGTGGTCGACGGTGCGCACCTGGCGAAACCGACGACACGTTTTCTACCTGGCACCTGCGCAATGTGCCTGACGGTGAAACCGCCAACCTGCACCTACTTGGTAGGTGCGCACATCTGCGCAGATAGACAACATGCGACTGCATATAGTCACCTACGACTGCAGAGCTGGCAGACCGCGCGCAGTGCAACGCTGGCAGACTATTCTGTTGCAGCGTTGGCAAGCCGCTCTTTTGCTGCGCTGGCAGATTTCGCCGTTGCTAGGTGTTGCATGCCATTCTAGTCCTTTTGTTCTGCATGCCTCAATTGTACTATCAACTTTTGAATGCAAATTGTTCTTTCAACTTCCTTAGTGGAATTCTTGCCAAACTTCTTTGTGAACACAAGCAAGAAGTACGAACGCTAGTGCAAGCTACGATCACTCGCACAACCCCGTGCCCTCCTCCATAGTCCACTCCCGTTGTGTAGTGTCTCTCCACATGGTGCGGTGAGCGTGGACGGCCCCGCGTTAGAACCTTCAGATTAGCCGACTTCTGCGTTCATTACCTAAGTCATTATAGGCCGGCAGCCGTCTTAGTCGCCATAGTGGACCCTGTAGTCGAAGCAGGCGTAGAAGATATCCTGCAGGCGAGAGAGGCTGGTGTTCGGGTACGCCACGAGGCTGGCGGGTACGGCGAGGCGGACTTGGAGATTCTGCTCCTTGGAACTCGTGCGCAGTGGGCGCATGAGCACCCCCCTCCTCGTGCAGAAGCGGACGACGCGTCCGCCTCTCCCCGACCCGTGCACAACGAAGGTGATGGCGGCAATGTTGTTGGCGGTAGAAGCACGAGGGTTCGCGGAGTGATACGGCCCGCCGACGTCAACGTTGGCGGAATGCAAGCACAAGTGCTGCGATCGTCTGCGACTGGAGGCAACTCAAACGGCAACATCGATGGTCGACGTCAATCTCCTCTGCGGAGTGGAGTCAGGCCGACTTCGGCGACTCATGCGTCGGCTGGTCGAGACGGAGGCATCGCGCCGTCATACAGATATTTTCTTTTTTCCCCTGACAAGATCGCTGTGCCGAAGCCGCTCGAAGGTCGGCACAACTTGATCACGTGGATCGAATCCATCGAGCCTCAGCTGGAGATCGCCGGATTGAAGAAGTTTGTCGACGGCAATGTTGAGATGCCGGACGCAGACGACTCTGAACTCTGGGCGGAATTTCGCGCTGCTCATCTACTGACCTTCATGGTCATTTCGAGGTGTTGCTCTCCTCTAGTGCAAGTCGCATTGAAGTCGTGCAGACTTCGAGTGTATGCTGGCTACCAAGCGTGGCAGTACATCATGCGCACCTACAAAGCGACCGACGACCTCTACATCGATCAACTGGAGAAGAAGTTGACCAACATTCGGATGGGGGAGAAGGAATCGGCGACCGAGTACT